CCCCAGGGTGCTGCGGAGGTCACCGTGCAACCTCTTCTCTCCCCTGCTGTCTTCCTCTCCCTCCCTTTCCCCCGCCCTGGCAGACGGAGAAGTCCCTGACCAACCTCAGCAGCATGCTGGACACGAAGGCCGTGGGGACCCCGGTGACCTCCCCCAGCTCCAGCTTCGCGCCGGGCTTCCTGCGGCGGCACTCCACCAGCAACCTCCCGGCGCTGGCCGGCGGGTCCAAATTCCCCAGTCCTGCCGGCTCCACATCTTCCTCCACATCTTCCTCCTCTTCCTCCTCCTCCTCGTTCGGCAGCCTGAAGGAGACGGGCTGCGGCGGAGGTGCCAGCAGCAGCAATCCCACGGCCCTGCTTAACAAGGAGAACAAGTTCCGGGACCGCTCCTTCAGCGAGAATGGCGAGCGCAGCCAGCACCTCATGCAGCAGCTCCAGCAGCAGCAGGCGGTGGCGGCCGGCAAGGGGGGCGGCTCAGGTGGCGGCGGCGGGGCCCCCATCAACTCGACGCGCTACAAGACGGAGCTCTGCCGCCCCTTCGAGGAAAGCGGCGCCTGCAAGTACGGCGAGAAGTGCCAGTTCGCCCACGGCTTCCACGAGCTGCGCAGCCTCACTCGCCACCCCAAATACAAGACCGAGCTCTGCCGTACCTTCCACACCATCGGCTTCTGCCCCTACGGTCCGCGTTGCCACTTCATCCACAACGCCGACGAGCGCCGCCCGGCGCCCGGCGGGGGCACGACCGCCCCTCCTCCCGCTGCCGGCGCGGCAGCGCACCACCACCCTCACCACACTCCTCCGCACCCCGCCGGCAGCACCGGGGACCTCCGCGCGTTTGCCCCTCGCGACCATGCGTTGGGCGGCGGCGGGTTTGGGCACCCGCGCGGCGGGGAGCGGCCTAAGCTGCACCACAGCCTGAGCTTCTCCGGGTTCTCCGCCCATCACCACCACCAACCGCCGCACCCCCACGGCACCGCCCCGCCGCCGCCGCCCGGGGGTCGCCTTGATGCCGCCCTGCTAGAGAGTCCCGGCGGGTCGCGCACGCCGCCGCCCTCCGCTTCCGCGTCGTACTGCGAGGAGCTGCTGTCGCCGGCCTGTGCTAACAACGCTTTTGCTTTCTCGGGGCAGGAGCTAGGCAGCCTCATCGCCCCGCTCGCCCTCCACACACAGAACTTCGCTGCGGCCGCCGCAGCTGCCGCCGCCGCCGCCGCCTATTACCGCTGCCAGCAGCAGCCGCCGCCGCCCCCTGCATCGCCGCCTTTCAGCTTCCAGCCCCTTCGCCGCCTCTCTGAGTCGCCCGTGTTCGACGCGCCGCCCAGTCCCCCGGACTCCCTCTCCGACCGGGAGAGCTACTTGAGCGGCTCCCTCAGCTCCGGCTCCCTCAGCGGCTCCGAGTCGCCCAGCCTGGACTCGGGCCGCCGTCTGCCTATCTTCAGCCGGCTCTCCATCTCCGACGACTAAGGGAAAGGGAGTACCGCGGGGGGCCGGCCCCGCGGCTGCCGAGCAAGTAAATTAACTAGCGAAGAAAGTGAATCCTTCTTCTCTTACTCCTTTTTTGTTTTTTTATATATCTATATATGTACACCGAGAGCTGAAAAAAGGTAAAAAAAGCGTTTTGCAAAAGGGGCAAATGACACGAACTAAACAAACCTATTTTTATAGAGAGACCTTGGAAGAAGGGGATTTTTTGTTCTTTGGAGACAAGTTCTGATCCGCACCAGCAGCAGCCATTCCATCTGTGTTCAGAAAGAGGAGAGAAGAAAACAAAGATAAAAGAGCATTAGAAAACACACCACCATAAAGCAACAGTCCGGGGAGCACTGGCCCTGCCTGCCCAGTGCCTCCAAACCTTCGGACACACAAGGTTACAAATTGGTTCCTTTCAATGCAGTTCAGATAAAACACAGAAACATGAAACCTGTAAAACCTGTCAGCTTTTTTTTTTAAGGAAAAGAAAAAAAATCCCAGCATCCTGCCAAGAATATGCCTTGATAACAACCTTTTTTTTTTTTATATATCTATGTATTATTATTGTAACATGCTAAAACTTTCATTCCAAAGTTTAATATTGGTTCCTTTGCCACCACTTAGTGGATGTTTGGCTGAGAACAATTTCTGTTGTTGTTGCTTTATTTGGAAGCACTCAACTGAGTTTAGTTGTAATTGTTGGAGAATAACTGCTGATTATTTTTTTGTTTTTAATTTTTTTAGCTGGTTTGAGTTGATTTTGCATGAATGAGTCGTTGCACAACAACTCAAATCTGAAACTATTTAACTTATTTATTATCTTGTGAAAAGTATACATTGGTAATTTGTTCATACTGTATTTATCGGGTATGATGAGAAAAGCAATAGATATATATTCTTTTATTATGTTTAAATTATGATTGCCATTATTAATCGGCAAAATGTGGAGTGTGTTCTTTTCACAGTAATATATGCCTTTTTTTGTAACTTCACTTGGTTATTTTATTGTAAATGAGTAAAATTCTTAATTTAAGAGATTGTAATATTTATTTCATTAATTTCTTTCCTTGTTTACGTAAATCTGAAAGATTGCATGGTTTCTGTATAGAAATCGATCTTGATGCTGTGGAAGTAGTTTGAGGGATTTCTTATGTTTTTTTTTTGTAGAATGTAAAATGGTTGTAGCCTGTCTGAGGTGAAAAACAAATGAGAGAAAACAAGCCAGCAGCAAAAAGAGGACTGACTTCACAATCAGAGTGGCAAATTGAATCCAGACTTTTTTAATGTAACCAAAAAGTATTTTTTGTTGCCTGACTCCACCAATCACACTGTGATAAGAGTATGTAGCAATAATTGGGGGTTCCAGTGTTAGGATGTCTCACAGTGCCTTCTCAAGGGTCCACGCTTGCCTTAAATCTCTCAAACCAAATAAGTATTTTTTTCTTAATGCTTGATACGATTTGAATGTAGGGATGGGTTTTAACTGCAGCAAAATTTTGCCACTCTTGGTAAGAATGGAGGCCATCTTGGATCTGAAACTTCCTATATACCTGAACATATCTTTTTTAAACTGAATTCCAAAACTTTGGCATTTAATTATTTTTCCTTATGTAGAAAGTCAGGAGTTTTCTAAAACTTTCCTGGATGGTGGATGAATGAGCGGTAGCTTAGGTTTTTTTTGTACATAGGTACAGATTGAGCACTATGTACTCTTTTTGGACTACTTTAACAAGTATGTTTTGAATGTAAAGCATAAGTCAACTTGAGTTGTAATATATTTTTCGGGAGTCAGTTCACTACAGATTGTGTGAGACTGTAAACTTTGTACTGTAAATGTTTTGTAGTTCTCCCAATAAAGTCTTTTTGGAAAAAAACAGTAAAAAGAGAAGTAACCCTTCCACTGTTGGAAGGCACTGAGCGTGTCTTTTGAACTAGCACCTCACCCCAACCCTGATCACCAGTGGATTTAGCTACAGATTAACCCAGCATCAGTGCACTCCTGCAGCAATCCCTGGTCACTGGCCAAAGTTAATAAATGCTTCCAGAAGTTTCGGGAGTCTGTGTGTTAGCGGTATGCTGGATCCTGCTGTTTAAATTGCTGGGTTTTGCTTCCAGAGGGTGAAGTATGGGCCTTTGTGGCTTAACAGGTGGAGCGGGTGAAGAAATCTAGTAATGGTGTTTATCAGATTGCATTACTTATGGGGATATATGAGTGTGCTTGTTAAGGAAGAGGTGGCAGTTTGGGTAATAAAAAGGCGTAATTAAAGTTTAACTTCTGTCCCAAAAAGTTTTGTTCCTCTTGTAGGAATGGGGACTTCTGCCTTGGCGTTCCAATCACCCTGCTGAGGGCGTATCTCTGTTAATTGGGCTGGCATTAAATATGTTAATCAGTTTTCAAGGCTTGGGGTTTAAACATCTTTCTGAGGGTGTATAAGAAAATGCTCAGTGGATTTGGCTCAGTGTGTGCATTAATGCTGGAAGAATTTTAGCTAATAACTCCATGCTCAGGTCCCTTACTCTAGTTAGTTGCTTAAAACTTAAGTCGTGATTTCTACTGGCTTATTTTGTTCTTTTGTCATACTACTGATAAATGTTGTTAACATTATGACATCTCTGCACTGCCTGGACTGCCACAGGGCTTTCTATAAATACAAGGTAGAATGTAATACCAGTGCCACATGTTTGTGTAACGAACCTTAGACTGACTCTCAGTTTAAAATTAAAACAAATGTAACCAGTGTATGACAACACAGCCTGGCTGCAGCAATCACCGTTTCTTTTTTTAATGGCTTGGTCTGACATTCTGGCTCAGAATCATTCCCTTATATTCCCAAACAGATTTCTGAAGGAACTTCTTTCTGGTGCTGCCTGCAGAGTAGCACTGAGCACTGCCAGGTTCTTCCCTGGGCATCCCTGGTGCAGGTACCATGCCTGCAAGAAGGTGTTCACCAGTATTTTGCAGAAGCAGAGAGTAGGTGTTGGTTTGACTGGTGTCTAAGCTGATGTCTTAATTAATTTTGGGGATTTTGAATCTAATTGTTAAATTAAAGCTGTTCATTAGGAGTTTTGGAGCAACCTGATGTGGTGGAAGGTGTCCCTGCCTGTGTTGGGCCCTTGGAATTAGTCCCTTGCAACCCAACCCATTCTATGACTTATTTTCAGATTTTCTTTCATCCCTAGGTGTGCTTTTTGCTTATCTCCCTTGCCCACCTCTCCCGCTAAGCATGCCCTTTTTTTGCAACAGTAAATAAGGACCTTACTTATTGCTTTACCAGAACAGTACTGGTTTTCTGTTGGTTGAACAGGATCTTGGTCTGAGTGCCAGGGCTGGCTTTGGTGCTCCTGGCTGGAAGAAGAGCTTTACAGCAGCTGCCCCATGTGAAACACCTGCACTGGTGTCAGTGCCAGTGTTCTGAGCACTGAAAAGGCTGCCAGGACAGGATGGGTGACAGCCCATGAGTGTCTCCCAGTGGGCTAGTGGCATGCCCTGCACCCTGCTCCAAGTGAGTGATGCTCTGAGGCCACCCATCCTGCCCCCTGTGTTGTCTGTATCTGCAAAAGCTAACTGCAAAGCAATCTGTTGCAGCATTATGTGTTCAAGAAACTGGAAGTCCTTGAACTGGGTCGATAAATGTCTGCTTCTCGTGCTGCACAATCAAGTGTTAACCTTTAAACTGGTGATTTATATTGTTGATTTAAGCAAATGCTCTCTTGCTTTCATTTCAGAATTCAAGGAAGCATGTAAAGCTGGTCAGACCATTCAGGAATGTCCTGATACTTTGCAATAAATTAATAAACTGCATAAAAAGAACCTGTTTTTCTTCGAGAACTTTGGGTTGAGAAGGAGCAATAAGGTCTCTGCTATTGCCCATTAGAAATGTGGTATTTCTCTTTATAGTTGGGGCACTGAAAATTAATTTGATGATCTGGAAAATGTGATTTTATTAGTGATTGGTGAGGCCTGAGTCTTGCATGCTTGTTTCAGTTGATAATATGACAGAAATTGGAGCAAAAAAAATCTGTAGGAATAAGGTGCAATGGTGCAGACCTTGAAACAGGAATTGATTTAACATGACTAACATGATCATTAGGGGGTTTTCAGAGGTATCGAATCAGCAGTTTGATTTTTTTGGCCTAGTGCTCTTAATTTCTCATTTGTGCTGGGATTCTTGGTTTGCCTTCTTCGGGTAGCGTGGGTGTGCTATTAACTGGTGCTTTTGCTTTCTCTGGGCTTTGGGGGTTTGCTGCTAACCCAAGTTAATTCAGAACCTAAACCTGATTCAGCACACAGAAAGATGGATTGACATCACCGAAAATACTCCCAGAAATGTGCCACAGTGCAGCAATGCTGCTGTTTTTGCTGTACCCCAGGGCCAAGCACAGGAGCTGGAATTACAGCACAGTCTGTACACTGGTGAAAGAGGGCCCATCACCACCGGAGGAGCTGGTAGGCTGCCGGATCCTCTCCCTGCTGTATTGCTGATTGCAGAATGAAGGAAACCAAGGTTAAATACATGGGCAGGGGATGAACCCTTTTTCAGAATCTCACACATGCAGTGCAGCTCTTAAATTGCTTTGAAAAATAAATTAAGTCTCCTGCTCATGTTTTCATCCCATCCTATCCCATCATTAGGTGGACACCTAATTTTCAAAGAAGGTCCAGGATTTTCGTTTTGGTCATTTTTTCTTCATGGTTGAGATGTACTTTTGATTTGCTAGCACAGCATTAAAGCTAAGGGGTCTGTACTATATAGTTTTAATTGTGTGGTCTGTCTTTTCTTGCTGATCTTGAGTGTAAATCTTGCTTGGAGTTTCAGGCAGTGGTGCTCTGTCATTGGGAAGACAAGGACATGCTGGGTTTTGCTTGTTTAACCTACAGAGCTCTGGAAATGGAAACCTTATTTTCTGGCCCTTCAACTTCAACTCAGTTCCCCAGTGGTTTAAGGCAAAGGTACTGGGTTTCCCACATTCTTGCACCTGAAGTATAGATACACTGTCCCTTTTGCCAGCCCTGCATCTGGTTGGTACCTGCCCAGAGAGGGACAGGAATATCCTGAATGACCACAGCCAGACCTGCCTGTAAGTATTCATCTGCTCAAGAAGTAAGTGGAGAGTTGGGATGGAAATGATACACTCAAGGTGATGCAGCCGGCTGCCTCCACCAGAAGGGAGCAGTTTGTTGGCTCAGCTCTTCCCCCATCCCTTTCTGACCCACTCTCTGAGCTGGTTTGGGTCACTGATCCAGATAGCAGCTTGCTCCACATGGCCCAGGGTGGGCGCCTGGTCCAGGGCCACTGAAAGGTCCCCTGGCCCCCAGCCAGCTCTGGCACTCATCACATCTACCTAGGGGCTCATGCACTCTGTTAACCAGGCAGAATGGGGGAAAATGGTGTTTTCTGCTGGGGTGGGTCAGTGAGGAGTCTGATGGGTTTCATTGCAGGTAGGGGGAGGAGGAGGATGTAGAGCCCTGCATCCTGGTGAGAAGGCAGGTATGATGGGATGGAGGACAAGGGGACTCCCCACCAAGATGCTAGATTCGCTTATCCCTCCTGTATGGGTTTTGCTCCACATTGTTTCTTCCACAGTTCTTTCAGAAATTCTTGGTATGCCCATTTTAAAACTGCATTTCTATATTCTAATAATTCTATATACAATACAATATATTATATATTGATTATAAGTGACTCAATGTGGACCTTGAGTATTCCTTGAAAAGATACCGACATTTAAGGGAAGGCTCAAAATCAAAATAGGGCCTAATGAAAGTGAATGAATATGACCATATCCCTGAACAGATATTTTGTCTAGTTTACTAGCTATCAAATAATGATCGTGTGGCAAAGCTCTGTATCTTTGGAGAAGTTCTGAATGTGAAAGGAAACACTTGTTCTCAGCTGGCTTAGATTTAGAAGGTTGTGCCATTTTTGCAGCATATGTACTGAAGGATATTAACTTGTAAGTCTAATTTATTAATATTAAGAATTTAATATTGGAGGGGAGGGTGGAGGATGAAGATTCCTCCCTAAAGGTCTGGAGGGCTTTGTCAAAAGCTTAGTCAAGCAGACACAAGTCATTTCATATTTCCTTTCAGAGAGGGATAGTGTTAATAGAAGCATTTTGGGGTGAACCCCCCCTCCCCCCAGATTTGCATTCCTGTGGGAAGCAGGCAAAATTACCCTGACAGATCTCCTCTCTGCTGATGAAGAGGGATAGATGACATCTGAGTAATTCCTATTCTGTACGCTGAGGTGGGGTAATTTAACCTTAATTTTTCTACCATGGTTAATAAAATAAACTGGGAGCTGGATATGCTGAAATCTAAATACAAGGGTCCTGTATCAATGGATTATTACCTTATCTTCTCTGAATGATGTTCACTTGAATACCTGGAATTATAATAGCCACTCAAGAAATTGAGGGAAATTCAATAATAGTAAGAGGCCTGGTAACTTACAAGATCTTGATTAGCCTTCAACTGTGCCTAGATTTTGGAGAAGGATTCCCTGTACTGTATGCAAAAGGAGCTGAATAGCTATGTGAAAAACATTCCCTCATTGCAGAGGAGCACAAACAACTGGCTTTTGTGGTTATTAAGTCTTTTGTGTATCCACATATATGTATATATGTGAACTTCCTGACTCTTCCATGGATGACCATTTGTGCTGTGAATGGCAGGTAGCTCTGCCCTGTGCTGGTGGTCTCAGGGCTCTTGATGGCAGTGCAGTGGGAACAGGGGGCAAGTGTCAAAGGGAAGGCCCAGATACTACCCTCCTCCTGGGGCAGCAGAGCCCTGCGTGAGTTCATGTGTGCCCTGTGCCTGCAACTGGTTTTGAATGCCATTTAGCTCTGCTGCAGAAGCGGCACAGACAAGGAGGGTTTCATACAGAGTGCTGTTGTTCTATCCAGGGGGCTGAGCAGCATGCTGTAAATCTTAGATGAATTCAGTGTTAACAAATACCTGATTTTAAAAGTCAGATGAGGAATGCAGTGATTTGCCAATCCAAATGGACGCTAACTTTAAAAAGACAGGAATTTGTTTTCTGCTAGATTAGTACTCTGATCTGGACTCATTTCATGGCCTTATGGCTATAGAACAAAAGCACGAGCGAGGGCAGAAGTTTGTAAGTACTGCAAGGCTCAGACTTCTGCTTTCAGCATCAGTGCAAGTTTAAATTGACTTAACTGCCTGTGAAACCACAGCCTAAGTTCTGTTCTGTGGGTTCTTTTCTACATACATGGTTCGAATCTTAGGATGTATGAAATGATGTCCAGAGGACATGCAGCAAACTGTGTTGAGTTTTTGCAAGCTGAACCTGAACATTTTGCTTCAGTTTGGCTGTGTTGTGTTTGGGGAAGTGTGGCTGGGGAGATGATGTTGAGGAAAGGGAAGCCTGGCAGCCTGGAAAAGCCATCTCCCCTGGAAGTGGTGCAGAGCTCTGGGCTAGTGTCAGTGTGAACATCAAGTCATGACCTCTCCTGTCTACTCGAAATATTTCTTATGGTAAGAAATCTTAAAATGAAATTCAAGAGGAGGTTCAGAATTCATAGCAAAAAAGGTGATGCTAAACTGTTTGCTGCAGAAGCATTGCAAAGCAAGAAACAAACATCTCATTTTTGGGGTCTATCTCCAAATTGGTGGAAATCATCCTTAAGGTAATTTCAGAAAAGCAACCCGACTGGTGTGTACAATCTACTGGTGCAAGACTAATGGTGAGAGATTTAGAAGAGGATCTTTTCAAACCATTGGTAAATACCATCTCAAAGAGGTAACATGAGTACCATGGACAATGGTGTATATAATGTACATACGATGGTATGTTTTATGTCCTGAACACCAGTGTGTAGGTATGTGTCATCATATCCTTAAGAAGCCCTTGCTCTCACAGAGGTACAGCCCATAGTCAGAGGACCTCCAGCACTTGCTGAAGAGTGGTGGTAAGCAGCAGAATGTGTCTGTTCTCCCAGCTTCCTTTCACCAGGGTTTGACTTGGAGTATGGCTACGATTCAGTCTGGGACAGTAAAGCCGAGGGGTGCAGGATCCTGCTCAGTCCCTTGCAGGAGATGTGTGAGTGTTCTGTAGCATTTCAGAGACATACTTGTTCCTGGCTTCACTGATTTCAATTGTTTTATTCAGAAATACTCTTTAGCCTTGCAGAGACTGCTCCTCCATGTGATTGACATGGGCACTCATTACTATTATTATTAATAGTATTCTATTCTATTACTATTTCATTATCAATTGCCTCAGGTGGCAGGGCTCTGGGAGTTCAGCTGGCCAGAGTTCTTACCATGATGTGTGCAGGACTCCCCAGTAAGCCTCTTAAAGTCTGGGAAAGCTGGTAACCTGCCAAGTGCAGGTGGCTGTCCTGCTTAGACCTCTGTTCTCAAAAAAGGAACCATTTGTTCCAGGTGTGATGCTCCTCTTGTGTCAAGCTGTTTCCTGGGCTGTAATGTGGTACTGAAACAGGCACAGGCATATTGAGAAAACAAGCAAAAACATCAGTGAGGTAAAGCTCTTGCAGAAGACTTGAAGGGGGAACGATCTGCCTGGGTTTCTTTGCTTTTTTGTTAAGTAGCACTTTTATAACGTGGAGTCTTTTTACCTTACAACTCTAAGAACTGATTGTAAAGAGCAGTTGTGGCATTCAGAGATACTGAACAGAGAGTGTTATCCAGATGGAAAAGCAAATGGTAAATGTCTTGGAAAAGCTTCCTTGAAATTTTGGGAAATGTACTTACTATAACTCCAGAACTAGTAGTAGAAAAAAGAGTGAGGGTGAAAATCAGCCAGTTAGGATTACTGTAACATA